AAATTTGAAAATAATGTTACAATAATTTTAACATTTTTTTCACACCTATTTGTCTAATAATTTCATGCTTTAATTTAAAGTAATGAATAAATCTTTACCTAACTTTTATATAATCAAAATATTAAATATAGTAAAAATAATAAATTAAATTCTTGATTTTCTTCATAGATATTTTTAGTAGTTATATATATATATATATATATATAGTATGTACAGTGTTTTATTTCTTCAAGAAAAGTATATAATTAAATTAATTAAACATATTTTTCCCTAGTAGCTAGCTTAAAGTACTTTCTTTAAAACGGTATTTTCTTTCTTGAAGAAATGTATATAAATAAAATATATACCTCTTGCCATTTGGACAAAAAGAAAACATGCAAGTGCTTCTTAAAAATAAAATAAAATAGAAACTGCTATAAATATAAATTCTAATCAAATTAAAAAATAATAATAATATTTAAAATATTTTATTAAAAAGTAATAAATTATTAAATTAATTCTTAAAATTTAGCTTTTAATATTCTTTTTGTTTCAATTTAATCTCTCAATTTTTTTATTTATTTCAAATATTTAATTTATTTTTATCTTTTAATAATAAAAATTCAAATAAATAATTTTAATTAATTAATTAAATTAATATATTAATAAATTAATAATATTATTAGATTATTTTATTATTAATTTAATAAAATTTATGGATTAATTTAATAAATTTGAGGAAAAAAAACATATGATCACTCACGTAATGATTATGGGCTTTTGTAAATGAAAAGGCCCAAAATCTACTAGAAACCTGAACGGCACAGTAGAGAGCCATTAGAGCCGCTTTACGCTCAGTTCGTTTGAAATTAGAAAGGAGATGAAAATGGCGTACTGAAACTCAGCCTCTCTTACCACTCGCACAAAGCACCAGAGAGCCATGGCCATGGTTGTAGACACGAAGACTGAGTTTGGTTTCCCTTACTGGACCTCTGTTCTGCGTCGTTTTGGTCCTGATTCTTCTTTCTTTGCCTCTGGAAATATCGAGCGAGAGCTTCTTGCTAAACAGGTCTTGGTCTCAGTACCTTATGTACTCCTTTTCTTATTTTTTATTAATATGTTCGAAATATAATTTTATTTTGGTGTTTTGTTTTCTTAATTGATGTAAAATTGGTCGCGATGTGCCGATTATAGAGGAATTTAGTTCTTTTTTTTTGGCTTTTTTCATGCGGTTGATTGACTAAATTTTGTTGAATTTCATATTATGAATTTGATCGTTTTTGTTCTTCTGTTTTCTGAATTTGGTAGGTTTTCTTAATGAACTAAGATCTGATACAAATTATTTGCAGGATTTTGAATTTTGATGGGGAGTTTTTTTTAGAGGTGTAGTTTATTACTTGAGAAATATGGTGGTCTTTTGAAGTACAATACAAGTCCTCTATCTGTTTCTTCTCTTGATTTTTTTTTTCAAATTTTTTGTTTGGGGTTCTTCTGATCTTGCTGATTCTTTTTAATTTACACTTTTATTTTCAGAAGAGAATCCAAAATCTTACAGATTCTTTTCTTATGTTGGTATGCAGGTTGCATTAGATATAAGTGAAGATGAAAAAAACCAGCTTCAGAATATGATAGTGGAGGAGAGCAGGTATTGATTCTTCAATGTGAATTTTCTCAAATTTTCTAGTCCCTCTTTGTGGCCTAGCTTTAATGGCTTTATTTGTTGGAACTGGAAATTTGTTTTTCATCAAGGCTGCTGTATGTCTAGGTTTTAAATAGATTTGAGAGATAATGACCATGAAAGTGATGATTTTCAAGTTCTTCAAATTGTTGTGTTGTATGAATTATGATGCTCTATTTGTAATATTTTTTGGAGAGCTAAAAGTGGTGATCAACGGAATAGACTCTTCATTCAAACCTAATTCATGCTATGTAGTTGTTGAAATTTATAGCACTACATTTCAGGTGTTCTGGGTTCAGTCATTCACACTTATGAGCTGTTGTTTTTATTTTCACTTTAGGAAAGATAGTTCTGGTTCTTTCCTTATAGTACTGGTGATCAAAATTTTACTTTCATTTGCCTTTTAATGATTTTCTTTAATAGCTGATACTAACTTATTTGAAACAACAGAAATGGATGCCCTTATAAATTTGATAATTTTCTGTTAATGAAGCATTGTGCACCTTAATCTTTACGCTACTTTTTTTGTGCCTGATCTCAAAATAGTTAACGTTTGAGCAGGGAGGTATTTTGTCCTATAGTCGGTTGTGGGGCAAGATTGAGTTCATTGGATAACTTCGAGGATCACTATAATGCACGACATTCTGCATCTTGTTCGGTGTGCTCCAGGGTCTACCCTACTTCGCGGCTGCTTAGCATGCATGTATCTGAAGCACATGATTCTTTCTTTCAAGCAAAAGTTGCCCGTGGTTATGCAATGGTATGATCACTTATTACCCTTTTATACTGGATTGTTTAGTCATTTTACATTTTTATATGATCTGCTACTTTGTTTTCCTGATTGTTAGGTTTTCTTTCTTTTTCAGTCAATACTAAATATTCTTTTGTTGTGTTTGACTCAATTCTCATTCAGATTTTAGTTAATAATTTATATAAGCAAAATACAGATTTTAGTGATTGAGCTACTATCACTTCTCTATGGAAGTACTGGACAGTGAGATTTCACCCTCAACTTTAATGGTAGAAATTAAATTTTCACCATTAAAGAATTCAAAGTGAGATTTCACTGAAGTTAAGGAGAATTTGAAGTTAAGAAATGAGTGTTGTGAATTATTGATCAAGTACAATTGAGCTGGTAATTTATTTACCAAAGTTCATGACTTGGTAAATGATAGCAAGTATGGACCTCAAAAGGGCTTTATGTTGTGTTTGAATCAACTTACATTTAGTGACTTGTTCTAACTACCATGCTTAAGACATAATAAGACGATAATTTATTGAGTCTATTTTGAATTTCTTGATGATGGGAATATAACTGACAAAAATTAGGATTGAATTCCCATCTTCAACAAATTTAATGTGGAAATTGCGAAATCTAGAATACTAAAAACCCTATTATTCATATGGTTAAGACTAATATGAGTATTAAAAATAGAAACTGAGAAGGAATTAAACCAAATGCAACGTTAGCTTATATGACGATAAATCTTCATATTTAATTTTCAAGGTGCGTCTCTCAA